ACCCTGTCTGGTCTCACTTCCTCAAACATTTTGAAGTGTTAAATGTTTTGGTGTTAGCAGACTTTGTCCAAAAGCAGAGTTAATTTTACTCTAAGTAGAGTCAAATACTATTTATGTAACTCTGGGGTGTAACATATTGGTGGTTAAGACTGAGTGTTAAAACTGATTGTTAATAGATCAAATCTGAAGGTGTTAAAATAGAAATATTAACTCTTGACTTCTTAACTCTGAACTCCTACAGGGGCTATGACACTGAAAGAGTTAATTCACTGACTCCGCCCCCAGAACCACAGGTTCGGACTGAAATGAAGCAACAGAAGCGAAGGTCTTCAGAACATTTTGCTTTCTACATGCCGGATTTGTTTACAACGTTTGGTAAGTAAGTTTTTCTCAGATAGTTGTAATTATTATTTTTGTTGTTATTTTGAGTCAAGACCAAACTGTGTGCCACATTGCTCGTTATAGCGTAATGGTTTAGCTCACCGAAATGTATTGTTTGCAGGCATATATTGTTGAAGAAAAAAGTGTGAAGGTGAACATTCAGCCCGTTTTGGCTAACTTAAATACGTCTAAAAGAATTTTTAGATTGTGAAATTTTGTTATACAATTATATCGCCATTTAAAGTCTGAAAACTATGCAGCTAGCAAACCAGCAGTAGCAGATCATGTACCGATTGGGTCCCACGTTAGATTCCTTCAGAACTTTATACACACGGTAAAGTTTGGTAAAAATAAAAAAGGTGGAGGTTTTGAATTTAATCCATTACTAACTATTGTCTGCGTTCTTCAGTTTTTGAGAGAGCTCCAGATAGAGCACAATGTTACCAAACGTGTTCTAAATATTAACACTAAAGATGGGCAGTGGTATCTAGAATAGGTTTTCTTTCTTTCTTTCTTTCTAATGGTTGGCCAGGTTCTTGCTAGAATATTGTAAAACAGACAGTTATTGTATTTTAATATTTTTTAATTAAAAAATCAGGTAATGAGAACCATCTGGGTCTTCAAGTTCTCTTTAGAGAAAGGCTTCAAGTGCTAAAAACGCTCTAGGAAATAGTTTCACTCAGTAATATACAAACTATAAAA